TCTGTGCTGGATGCTAATGATAACGCCCCAGTGTTCAGTCAGGCTGTTTATAAAGCCAGTCTGCCTGAAAACTATCCCGTAGATACTGTAGTGGTTACTGTTAGTGCTAATGATGCAGATGAAGGAGTAAATGGAGATGTAAGTTATGATTTTGGACATGTTTCTGAAGAAATTATGAAAATATTTAGTATTGACAGTAAAAAAGGTGACATTCGCATAATTGGTGATGTTGATTATGAAACTACAACATCATATGAAATACGCATTAAAGCAAAAGATGGACTGGGCCTGTCATCTTATTCTAAAGTCATGATTTCTATCACTGATGTGAATGACAACGCCCCTATAATTAGTTTCATATCACTGACCAATCCTATTCCAGAAGACATTCCTCCTGGTACAGAGGTGGGCATCATTAACGTGCAGGACAGAGACTCTGAGMAGAACCGACAGGTGCGCTGCTCCATCCAGCAGAAYGTTCCTTTTAAGTTGGTTCCTTCTATTAAAAACTATTATTCTGTGGTGAGCACAGGACAGCTGGACCGTGAACTAGTGTCTGATTACAACACTACAATCAGCGCCACTGACGAGGGCTCTCCACCTCTGTCCTCCTCTAAAACTTTTCACTTATCTGTAGCTGACATCAACGATAACCCACCTGTGTTTGAGGAACAGTCCTACAGCGCATATGTGAGTGAAAATAACAAAGCTGGCTCCACTTTATGTTCCGTTAGTGCTCGAGACCCCGATTGGAGACAAAACGGTACAGTGATTTATTCTCTGTTAGCTGGTGAGGTGAACGGAGCCCCGGTGTCCTCCTATGTGTCTGTTAACGGAGACACGGGGGTGGTCCACGCTGTCAGGTCGTTTGATTATGAACAGTTCAGGAGCTTTAAAGTGCACGTGATGGCCAGAGACAACGGGTCTCCTCCGCTCAGCAGCAACGTGAGCGTGAGTGTGTTCATATCRGATGTGAATGACAACTCTCCTCAGATCCTGTACCCCGCCCCGGAGGGCAGCTCCTTCATGACCGAGCTGGTCCCCAAAGCTGCACACGGAGGCTCTCTGGTGTCCAAAGTGATCGCGGTGGACGCGGACTCCGGACAGAACGCCTGGCTGTCCTATCATATAGTCAAATCCACTGATCCGGGACTTTTCACTATTGGTCTGCACAGCGGAGAGATCAGGACGCAGCGGGAC